TGGTCAGTCCGCACACCCCTTCTATTAGCGCAACAAAGAGCCTCAATGGATCAAGCAGCATGGCCTGCCCATTACGAACTCAATATATACGAGTGTTATTTTGTGAGATTACCCGGATCTTAAATCATCTACTTGCATTAACCACCCATGGTATGGATGAAGGAGCATAACCCCTTTTCTTTGGGCTTTTGAAGAACGAGAAATATTGTTTGGCATGGTGACCGTGACCCGTGCTTCGACCAGGGCCCTTCAGAGGCATCGCCCTCTCCCGCCAGATGCGCCACTGGGAAGAATGTCGTCTCTCAAGGTAGAGCAGACACGACTCCTCCCCAAAGAGAGGACACTCAAGTTGGACTCACTTCCTCATGGTAAGAAAAGATTGAGAGGGTATATAAGGAATGGGAACAACGAACCTGGAGATAGCTGCCCCCAACCACAAATTTGTCACCAACTGGGCCGACGTGCATTTCGATGACCGGTCATTAGCCTCGGTACCACCCACAACGCAATGTAGTGCCACTTCAACCAAAACGCCACGTCAACATACTCTCATCATCATACATATATCTTATGTCGCCACAACTCCCATGCTGTCGCCACAGCCTTCCAGCATCCGGCCTCTCCACTTAGGCCCCGCTACAACAAACCAACGTCAAAGCATCCTTACTACACATGAAGCACCATCAGTGCACCAAGTAACAATGTCGCCGGTGCCAGGTAATCGGCGATCACGAACCAGCTCCGATACCAAATTGCAAGGAATATGAGTGTGAACGATATACAGGAAACCAAGTTGTGAAATCACACAGATGTCCAGATAGTCGTGTCCAAGCAGAGAGTACAAAATGCACCGAGAAACCATCCATATAGAGCAATACAATGAAGTAATGAGCCAATGTTCAAGCCCGTAGCCCACACCAACACAGTATCCAAGTCGCTCCTCTCTGTCTGGCGCCCAGCGCCCAGCCTACTCTGCCCGACTACCCTACCTACAGCTGGTTCACGCAACAGGCTCACTTCGACTCTCGAAGACCAACGCACATGACTGTCAACTCCATACCCGACCTGTCTTCATGCACCAGGTACGTATCTCGTCACCCTCAATCAGACCTTGACTACCCCACACTGCACCTCCTTCCTTGAAGACCACCAGATTGCCCACTGTACCCCCTGGCGTCCAGCAGCCCAGCTATGGCTGCCTGAGCCCTGCTGCCCTGCAGCGCCCCACTTCACCACTACGCGCCCCGTCAGCGCCCTTGGCAGCAGCGCAGCATCAAGTGATAGCGCAGCAGCACTTCCGCATTGCCTGCACAGGCCAGAATGCCTGGCCTGGGCTGCCTCACTTCTTTTATGGAAGTTGCAGCCTTCTGGATGCTGCGTGTGGCCTGGCTGGAAGCTTCCAGTAGCTTCCGGTTGGGCCTCAGACCCTGCGCCCAGGCCCGAGACTACAGTTGAGGGCCTGGGCCCTTTACAGTTGGGCACGGCCTGAGTCTCCGGACTTGGGCTGTTTGCTGCATCTGCGCAGGGTTCCCAGGTAGGTGCATCAGCAGTACTGCTTTTGCAAAGGCCGATGGCCTGCTTCCCAATGTATTGGCCCTGCTTTGTGTGTATGTGCCCACGTGCAATTGTCAAGGCCTGGGCCAAATGTATGACGCAGCTTTGTGAGGCTCATGCGTCTACCCAACCATTGGCAACTGGCGTGCTGCGAGAGCCTGAATACCCACATATGGAAACGTCGAATTTTGCCTCTGACGAATATTCAGGCCTGCCTTCACTTAGGGCGGGAACGCGGCTTGCTGGGGGCCTTAGTCTAGATCATGTGATGTCTGATAGGGCCCCTTGAGGGCTTGCTCCTCGCACTACGCACCTACGTAGAAGTGGAGGTATGACCACATACGCACTGATTGACAAAAAGGTGACGAAGTAATTAGTAATTACGGGACGCAGTGATTGACAAAAAGTTGACGAGTAATTACGGGACGCAGGGTAAAAATGGGGACGAAAGAGGAAAACGTAAGGTGAAGATGGGGATCAAGGGCCAAGTAAAATAGGAAAAGCAAAACAATGAGTAGTGCGACATGCAATGCAAGGAACGTTACACCTATGAGAAAGGTGGATCTGTAGATGAGGCAGAAGTATGGTATGTACTGTTAAGGTGGACTTGAGGAACAATATTACCACGTAGTACGGAGCCTGAGCGATTCTAGGCTCAGGAGATACAGGAAACAGAGGAGCTTAAAACCTGACAATAGAAAATCATGTCGTAAAGGACAAAGGGAAGGGGAGAGAGAGGAATAGGGATGGGAAGGAGGAGGGGAGAGAGGCAGTAAGAGGGATGGGAAGGAGGTTGCGGATGGGATGGGAGCTGGGACCAGACTGGGATACACTAGCAAGTGCCTGCAGTGAGAAAGCTGTAGCGACTGGGTATGATTGGCAGTCTCCCAGCTACAGGCAATCATTGCAATCACTTGCCATCACTTGCTTGACTTCTGGATGCACAAATTGTTCATTCTGCTTGCTGGTGATAAGCAACCCGGCTGCCGCCCCTAAGAATAGAAGGGGCACTTGTGCGTGTGGGTGCAAAAATAAAAATCCTGCCTCATCAATAAGCCCCCGAAATGGATGTGCTGATGGCCTTGGAAAAGCCAACGAACAAGGGTACTGATGAGGGGAAGGATAACATGCAGTATGTCCTCCGGCAATGGTGTGCACGTGTGTACCATTTGGCAGGCGAAGAAAGGGGAGAACAACGGACATTCCTGCCTTCCAGTTGCATTCCAAAATTACTAGTCCTTTGTTGGAAAAGCCTGTTTCATATCAGACAAAGTTAACGGGTTCTTCTGAAAGTTCTGATCTTTCCTGCCAAAGGACCCATTCGCCTCTGAGCGTGGGACTCTGGCACTCATAGCTGAACGGCTGAGCCAAACACCAAAAGATTCAAACAGGTCAGTACAGGTACAGGTCTGGAGCAAAGAGTACCCGGCCTTTTTTACTTCCGTGCATGCTTTTATAAGAGGGTAGTCGCAGACCGTTAAGTCTGGGATGTACAGGGCCGGGGCCTTGCGTTTGCAGTGTACCACATGCACGGGTCTGACTCAGAAATACATTGAATGAAATCTGCCTTAAGCACTGGACCCGTAACAAAGTTGAGGAAGGTTCTTTTTTTTTTAAAAAGGCACGCAACACGACACACCCTTCTTCCTCCCCCCATTTCCTTCTTCTTCTTCTTCTTCTTGGCACATATGGGTGCACTGGTGTGTGTTTGTGTGTGAGAGAGACAGAGAGTGGCAAGCGACCCATTCCCAGTCCCTCCCCTCCCCTCCCCTCCCCTCCCCGCAGCATCTCTCCTCCCCCCTCTTTCTTTCCCTGCTGCCTGCCCTCTTCCCCCTGTCAAGCGACCTCCCTGCCTTCAACCACAACCGCGCATGGGCCCAGTCATAACTGCCATGTGGGAATGCTCTCAATAAAATTCGACCGACTCTAGCACAACGTGGTGGCCAGATGCATCCCCAGGGTCACAAAAAGGAAAAAATGGCCTGCCCTGGCCCTGGCCCGACATGGCCTATGACAAACTTTCTTGCCGGCCTGAGTCTGTTTATCATTCAAAACTCAGACCGCAACAAAACTACAAAAACAAGTTAAACTTTCCATTGCATATAAAAACTCTATTTTTGACATGGCCTTAGTTACCTAAAAAAGAAAAGAAGAAAAAGACCAGAGACTCCCTGAAGTGTACAACAGAAACGAAAAAGCTATACATCAATATGATTAAAATAAGCATGACTGTGCGAGAGAGAGAGAGAGAGTGTGTGTGTGTGTGTGTG